TTTATAGTCTGAGTCTTATTCTAGCAAACAGATTTGTAAATTTGAGAAACCCCTTTGTGGAAATCTCACACAAATTTAATAAAGATAAAGGCAAAACCTCATCTTAAAAAAAAAAAAAAAAAAAAAAAAAAATAAAGAGTACATACAAAATATATATGAATTAAAATAAATTTACAAATTTAAATTTTTTTAATTCATTCAAATTAATTCAAATTTATACTTATATGAATTCATTTAAATATTCAATAAATTAAATATTTGATTCCAATCTTTATTACTAGTTGTATTCTTTTTTTTTATATCTAATACTAAGTTTTCAAAAGCAGTTAGGATTTTTTTACACTAATTATAGGTTTTGATCTTATCCTCTAACAGCTCTCTAGTATTATCATTCAACTATTTTTTCTTACTAGCTTTAAAAGATTTTTTTTAGTCTCAAAAAGTATATAATGTAAGGGTTTCTTTTGCTATCTCATGCTTTTGCTATCTTTTTCTTCTTCTGATATAAATTGAGTTTTCTAAGTAACTTAATCTATGAGTTTGTTTAAAATTATATTTTTGATAATATCTAATTGCTGTATTTTTGAGTTTTTTTACTATGTTTATAGCATTATTATTCTCAATTAATTCATTATTATTAGAAAAATTATCATTATTATCATAGTTTTCTAATTCAGTATTATTATTGTTATAACATTGTTTTTTTGTTGCTACTTGAAGTCTCTTTATAATACTTGTAGTATTATTATTTTCAATTGCTTCATCATAAGAAAAAGTGCCAGTATTATTAGAATTTTCTGATTCAGAATTATTAATATTAATACTATGCTGTTATACTTTTGTTTCATAAGCCTTCTTTGATTTTTTATGATAGCTTGTTGGATGTGGCTTATTGAATTATTATTAACAATTGATTACTAAACTGACTTTATTTCAAGTTTAATAATTACTTTATAACAAAGAAATTTAAGAAGCTATTTCTAGTCTAACTGTTAGTAAATCTTTATTATTATTTGTATATATATATTGAATATATTATTAAAAAAAATTTACTAATTTAATCTATTTAGATGTAATAGGTGTGTTTTTATTTACTTTTTTTTTTTATTCTGAGATACTATTTATCCTTTCTTTTCAAAATTCAATATCATATTCATATGTATCAATATGTAGGTTTAGATTTATTCAAGAAGTTCATAGCTTAAGTAAACAAAGAGTTATTATTATTAGTACTTATAAAGGAAAGAATTCTAAAAATTAATGAAAAATATTCTGATCTATGTATAAGCAGCATTTTTTTTCCTATTTATACCTAATAGATTAGAATATTATTATACAAACTTATAATAAATTACTTTGCAAATATAGAGAGAATTTATAGTAACTCAAAATATTAAGTACTCAATAATGAATTAGGGCTTTTAAAGAATTTTTAGTTGCAATTTACTTATAATATCAGATATGGTATAAATCAGAAATAGTCAATATAAAATAAATTGTCTATTCATATAATAAAATAGATTAAGTAATTTAAGATGAATTTAGAAATTCTTTTAATTATTATAATAATAATAATAAGATTATCAATTTATTTAACTAGTAGCATATAGTAAGTTAAAAAATACCTAGAAGACAGAGCTCTTATTATTGTAATGCAAACTTATACATATTTACTTATAGTTTACATATTATAATTTATAGATTATTAGAATAGTACTATCTACTACATATATAAAAAAAAGTATATATAGAGTAGGTAGTATTCTAATAATAAACATACTTTGATATTAGGTATTTGCTTCATAGAAAATTAACCAAAAAAGTATTTCATAAGAAAGTGAAGTAATTACTTTTTTTAATATGATTTTAATAGTAATACATTAAATAAATTTATCAGTTTATGAGTGCAAATTAATCTTGTGAGATAAATTTATGTACTATATTTATATTTTATAAACATCACTTTTAAGTAAAATAAGTTAAAAAATTTAATTATTTAGTATAAATATTATAAATTTCAAGTTTTAACCTCATTACACATTATATTAAATTATTAAATCTAGGGTTGTATTACAAAAATTATAACCTTACATTATTTCATAAGTTTCAGTAAATTGAATTTCACAGTCATATGATATAAAGTACTAGAATTACATAAATTTTGATCTTATTTTAAATAAACTTTTGTTATACATATTCAATATCATATGAAAAATTATGACAAAAAATAATTAACTTCAAAATAAGTTTTATATAATTTTTCATTTGTTTTTTTGTCTTTATTACTCAATAGTTCTCCCAAAATAGTTTTCTCCAAGAATATTTCATTAGCTTCAAAGGCAAAAACAAATTAATATTAGTATAAAAATTATAAAAATTTTATATAATATGACCAAAATTATAATTACCTGTTATTATGTAAATTCAATTTACTAATCTTATACAAAGTTACATATAATTACAACTCTAGCTATATATTATTACAATTCTAGCTATATAATATTACAATTCTAGCTATATAATATTATTTTATATTATAAGAGACGGCACTTAATCTGCAAATCTTTTGTACCAAAACTTCCTAAAAATATTTTTCAAAAAAACCAAAATTTCTTAAAATTTT